AAGGATTTTCATGATTGCATCGAAGATGTGGTTTGAACTCAATATTTTGCCTTTTTTTTTTAGAATTCACTACGTAGCATTTGTGAAGTGAAGAGTTCCATAGCAGTTTGACAATTTATACCTGGAGTAGAGCTCGTGGGATGTTGCTGAATTATAGAGTGGGCTTGAAATTTAAGTTGGGCCAAAATATTTGGACCGGTTTGATTCCATTTCGATCTAGACTGAAATGGGTGTATTTTGCTGAAATTCAGTCCGCATCCCACTGTACTCAAATTTGTCCAAGTGTTCATAGTCCCTCGGCTTCGATGGCCGAGTGCATATGTTTACTCGGCTTGATGGCCGAATGCATATTTTGATCAACTCGGTCTGAGTGCATTACCCATTGATCTGACGATCTGAATCGCCAACAGCTCATTGCCGACTAATCTGACCTGCTGGCTGGTTCTGAGTGCATTCTCGTATAATCAGAAGTGAACAATAAAAGATTAACTCCAAGTGCATTACGCATATGCAAGAAAGAAAGGGAGCACACGTCTGGCACATGGAGATTGGCTGCCATTGGTTTGCTGATGATCAGAAAAGGAAAGGAGCCAGCAAGATATATATGGAAAACATAAGAATAGAAAGTAGTGCCAGACGACATTTACAAATTAAGGGGATGCATGCTGCCAGGTACTTAATCAAATTGAGTGCATGTTTTTACCAAGTTATTAATTGCAGCAAGCATATGCTTGAGTTCTTGTGTGTAATAAAGAAGGAAAAGGTAAAGCTAGCAGCAGGTAGGCAGATAATTGTTGCATAGATACATGCAAGAAGGTAGAACGGATTTGTGCACAGCAAGAGAAGCTAGCTAGCAGTGTGCAGATTTGCGTGCACAAGTTGATGCCAGACATATTCGGATCGTACTGAGTAAATTCTCTGTACACCACGGACATGTCTGGACTGTCCAGTAATTCATGGACTATGAGGAGGCGTCATGTGTTAAGTTGGGAGTCCGGCTGCTGCACGTTTTGTGCGGATCGATATAAGGCAAATATCCGGACGTGGTTCTTGGAGGCACGACAGATAAACATGGTCACGTAAATAGCTGGCCACCTGGTGTACGTGAACCGAACAGGTCCCCGTACGTGTGACGTTTAACCGAATTAAAATACATTTGTTTTGTTCGGCTAATCTTTTTCAGACCAGCCGCCCTATAAATATAAAGGGTGACGACCGATTAACAACACACAATCGAACCTATTAATATACATCTATTTTTTATCTTTTATCATACTTTTCCAATCTACTATTTTTTCTCGTTCTTCGTTGTCGACGATGTTCATTGCTTCAACGATGGCGAAGCCCTAGAGCGGTCAGGCCGGCTAGGGCAGCCCATAGCCGCCGCACACCGTGACGGGATCCCTCCCGGACTTATGGGGTTTCGGGTCTCAAGAGACCTCGCCGGCGTGTTTTGCGTATCGCGCTCCCGATCCTGGTGAGGCTCCTCCGACGACGTGTCCTGCGTATTGTAGCACCCGATTTTAAGGACAAAACTAGATACACACCATATGTGAGCTCAGAAAGTCAAATCTCACATATAACTACAAATAAAGGTAATATCAATAGACAATGCTTAATATATAACGTACTTAGTATAAAGAATATAACCTTAGACAGCAAACAGCGGAAAAGACAACTCGATCTTCGGGTGAAAACTTCAATTCCATAGGGACAACCGGATGGTTGATCATAAGCCTAACTTCTCCAGACTAGCAATCTGGTATCCATCCGGGATTTTTCCAAAAATTTAAAAAGTAAAGCAAGAGTAAGTACATATCGTACTCAACAAATATAACATGGGGTTCATGAGGCTCAATAGGTTGACACTGATTTACTGCAATTAGCTTTTAGTGAGTCACAATTTTAAGCAATTGAGTAGCAACAAGTTTATCACAGCCTATGCAAACACATGATCAGGTAAACATGAATAATGAATAGCATAAACAATTAACTATTAATGAGCATCTTTATCATCAATATCATCAGTGTTCATCATCATTAACCATTAATGATCGTCTATTCCGTAAGGATCCAAGGCCGCTCGTGACCGTGAGCACGGCTGATATACCAATTTTACACTCTGCAGAGATTGTACACTTTCACTATGAGTCGTGATTTACCCTTTCGCCCGAGGCAGCCAACCTCTTGACCCACTACCAAGGAAGGTCGATAGGGTTGACTATGAAGCCTTTCAACGGTTCGTCTAACAAGTTAGGGCCGGTAAGGTTTCCCCATCAATAAGCATGAACCCCCTCCAAGAAGTGACTAACAAAATACCAAGAAACCAAAGTGCACCCTTTTGGCAGGCTGAGATCATACCTGTCGGAGCCCCTCTTGCACCATAAAGGTAACCACTAATAAGATAGAAAAGGTCCTCATACTGAGCTAAAGTCAGAGCCATATAGCCCTCACAACTGTACTGTAAGTCCTGAATGTTCGCTTGCAGATAAGTCCTTAGGGAGAGGAATCTATAGCACCATAAAATAGCCCAATGCTCTAGCCCCCTTGTTCCATGTTGCTAAAAAACATCTTTTAATGTTTATTGCATATACCATTAGTCAAGTTATAAAATCATGGCTTTAGTTGAGCACTAGCATCATACTACCCAATGCAATAACCCATAGGTGACAAGGCACAAGGTAACAAAGCACTAGGAAGTCCTTAGTGGCGGTCAAGGTAGACACATATAGTATGAATTAAATGATTAAAGATGTATAGGACAACAATGATGATCCCATGCTATACTTGCATTAAACTCAAATCCTTCTTCTATTGAATTGTAACCTTCAAAGGAATTCTTCTGGATTATCAACTTCTTTTATATCACCAACGTAAAGCTCACAGACTATACATGATCATAAAGCACCACACAAGCATCCATACAATCATACACGAAGCAAATAATAGATCTAAATTAGAACAGTACACCAAACATAAAATCAAGATGAAAAGTTTATAAAATAAATCTACGTCTCGCTACAAATACACAGACGCGAAAAGCACTCTAATCGGAGCTATAACGAAAAAGTTATGAATTAAACAAGATTTCCTTTAATAAAATAATAGATTGAATCTAACCTCAAATTTCAAAAGTTGAAAATATATTTAACAGTAGAATGAACATGTAGATTACGTAATTACGAATCTAACGCAACTTGAACGGATCAAATCGGAGTTAAAATGATGATTTTATGGCTTAAACAAGATTAGTGGCAATACTGTAAATAAATGAAAGCTTATTTTGAATCTAACAGAGAGAATTTACGCTTTCTAGAAAGAGAAAACGTATTTTGAATCTACTAGAAAGAAACTACGCTTTCGGAATAGGAAAACGTATTCTAGAAGTGCGCCATGGACTACGGGTTATATTACGTGAACTGCAGGGGCGTTTTTGCAAATAAACCCGGCAAAGGGGTACGGGCGATCTTGGACCGTTGGATTGAATCTGGACGGCCCAGATTAGAAAGGATGGGGAGAGAGAGTCACCGGCCGGAGAAGAAAACCGGTGCGGCGGAGCTCCATTACCGACGGCGAGAAGGTCCCCGGAGCGCTTGGTTTGGGCCATAGAGGCCACGGTTTGACGAGCCGAGAGCACAGGGAATAAGAGGAGAAGACGGCGAGCTTACCTAGGGCCTTCTTGTGGTTGATGGTGGGTCTATAGCGTCGGGCAGCGCGGCGGCGACGGCGACAGCGAGAGGAGGAGAAAAATCTAGTTTACTACACGGGGGATTTCTCAAACTAAGGGCTCCCTTACGGTGGTTTTGGTGTGCTTTGCCCAAAGAGCTGGTACATATTTATAGGGAAAAAAACTACCCACATCTACATCAACTAACAATATGGTACTAATTGATGTTGCACCCTCCACGTTTATTAATGGACCTAAATAATCTTTAAAGCCTATTAGTAAAATAAATGCATGGACCTTTGAGATTTATTAGGATTACTGCACATGGGCTTTGAGAGTTGGTTGGAAAATGAGATATATTATTTATTTTCGGAATTAATTAATTTCGTGAATAAAATAATTCTAGAAAAAGTCTAGAATTGATATTTAAGCCATGAAAAATACTCCGAGACCTCCGAAAATTTAGGAAAAATTCCCAGAGATACTTTGGAATATGATGAACCCAAATAAAGTATTTGGAGCTCATGAAAAGATTGTTGGGAACTTCGAACATAAAGATTAAGGTGAATAAGGTAGGAATTAAATTCCAGAAAGAAGCTGAAAAAATCATAAAGATAGATATTCGTCTCCTAAACATATTTTAAAAAAAACACATTTTGCACATAGAAACATAAGGTGCGACCGGCATGAATGCAAGAAACACGTTTCTACCTTAAAATAAATTTTAATCTAATGAAAATTTATTATTTCCCCATATTTTCATGTGCATAAAAATACAAAATTAAATCATTTTTGCTCTATTTCAAGAGAAGCAAATTTTAGGGTGTTACATGTATCGCGCTTATCTCTGGGGGCACATGGTGATGTATTCGTGTGCGAACAGAACCTTTGCTCTAACTCTAAGCCACTCTTAAGCTCTACCTAGTCCAAGTTTTTGACACGTCCACAGGTTTGCTGATGTTTATGATGGCACACGTGTGTGCGAGAGTTGGTGAAATTATAAATTGTTGACGAGTCGTGCACCAAACCTCATCAGCCACGGCCACGTAGAATTGTAGTCTGCCGCAGCCACCTCACACCGACCATAACAAACGCGACAGCACAGCACATCGAGTATCTGAATTCCACACGCGTGACACAGCAGGTAACTCAGATATTTGCGAAGCAATTCCGTCATCGCGGTGCTCAAGCTCATGTCGCCTTCCTTTGACCAAGAAGTTCAAGTCTTCAACGTATCCTAGCTTTTGCAGCTATAAGTAGTCGTGCCATAGCTCTACAGAGCCTTACTCAATCAACACGCGGATCTGAAAGCAGCAACGACAACGAGCTCGCCATGGATGGTTGCAGCTGGGCGCCATCTCATGCTAGAGGCGGCGCCAGAGCTGTGTTTAGTGGGGACATGTCATGGCACAAGGCGAGGTACGTACGGTACGGTCGGCTGGCGTCCATATCGAGATCAATCCGCCCAGCTCGATAGCTACTGCCAGGTGTACGTTATGATCACAGGAATAATCCGTCAATCTTAATCTCAGCTTGGGTTTGTCGTTGTGCAGTAACAGCAGCTGCGACGACTCTGATCATCTTGACCGCGGGAGGGAAGGGCAGGACGTGGTGATCAGATCGCAACTTCAGCAGCAGCTGGAACAGGCAATAACCAAATTGAACTGTTACATGTTATTGAGAATTTGAGATCGACTCCTGTACTAATCTATATCGTTCTTGCATCCATTGTTGTTTGGCGCAGATCTACATGCTGATGGACATGGAGCAAGAGCATGAGCTGCACCTGCACCACGCCGTGCCACCGCAGAGCCCTAGCCAGCAGCAGCGGTCGCCACCGTCGTCGTCGTCGCCATTCCGGTCTTTTGCCGTAAGCTCCGATGAGACTTCGTCGCTCGTGCTCTCGGCATCGAGCGCCACCCCAACCTTTTGCCAACAACCGTCCCAGGCCTCATCCCTGGACACACCATTTTCGCCACTCCCCTACAGCTACCTTGAGACGATCCCGAACCTGAACCTGGAAGAAATCATGAGCCAAGCACGGCACAAGGTCGGCCATGCCGATTCCGGCACCAGTGCGTTCAGTCAGTACGTCCGGCACCTCCGCCCCAAGAAGAAGGTAAAGCCGGGCGCCTGCGGGCAGAGGGCGATCAAGACGGCCATGTCGGTCATGGCGAAAATGCACAGCGCTAAGCTTTCCCAGTGGCAGAGGCAGCAGAGCTCCAGGACAGAGATGATCGCGGCAGCGCCGTCCGACGAGAGCAACAACATCCAGCTTCAGCACCTCCTGTCGGAGCGCAAGCGCCGTGAGAAGATCAACGACAGCTTCGATGCTCTCAGGAATGCGCTGCCCCATGCCTCCAAGGTATACATTGCACATACATATTCTTCAAAACTTATCTCATTCTTCAGTTGGTTAGCACTTAGATGTTTTAATCATACATACGTGTTTCTTTCCCATGGCAGCGAGATAAAACATCCATACTGATGAGAGCAAGGGACTACATAAACTCTCTCAAATCAAGGGTGTCTGAGCTGGAGGAGAAGGAGATGGCACTAGAATCGCAGCTAAGGATCGACTACGGCGATGAACAAGACGTTAATGGTTCCCCTGAAAAGATCGAGATGAAACAATGCAGGACCATTGACTGAAGATAGTGGTAAGCTCAAGATGTGATGCCATGCATGAAAGAGACAATTTTCGTTGACTGAATATATTGTGCTAACTGAAAACTACCATTGGCGTGTATGATTTGAGCAACCATCAGCCACTCGTATTTTTTTTTTTTCGGAAAGTCAATATCTGAAATTTCGTCTGATATTTTGTCGATGCTTCAATGCAGCAGATGTGACAACAATTTCATATTTTCATGAAGGAATGTGTGATATAGACTGTCAAAGGCACTTGTGCAGTCAGAGATAGAGACAATCTAGCTTCTCTGCAATATCTAGAAAGCGCTTCCCAAAGAATAAGCTGTAGAAAAGCATGTCGTTTGTATGTTCGTTTCAGCTTATTTTGGCCATAAGCAGTATAAGCTACCAAACATGCCCAATGAATGAAACATCAAACATATAGACATTCAGGGATCTTGGATTCAACCTTAATTCCACCCTGAGCTCATTACAATGTGTAAAATATAGACATTCAAGAACTTGAGGTCTTGGAGTAATGAAGATGATGATTTTTCACATCCTAATTGTATACCAGCTTCTTGTGACTTGTACTGGCAACAGAGGTGAACCGGGGTTACCGGAATTCTGCTTCCTGTTTCATGTTCGAAGCTTGGTACTCCTTTTAAGGTTATGCTCGGGGGCTACCCCGCGGTCAAGTTGTTACATTAATCATACATGTTGCTTTCCCGTGTCAGCGAGATAAAACAACCAAACTGATGAGAGCAAGAGACTACATAAACACTCTCAAATTCAATGTTATCAACAATGTTGTAAACACCTAAAACAATGATTTCATTGATAAGAATATATAGGCGTGAGAATATATCGTGTTCATTCTCATACTCTTTTTATTTAAAGCTACTGTGTTTTTCAGTGAGAACATAATATTTTTCCCCTTGGTCTTCTCCTAAGTGGGCTGCTGATACCAAATGTTTTCATACACTTCCTAAGCCTTGTGAGACTCTCCCCAACCTCTCTTTGTGAGATTAAGTGATTAGTGTGAGATCAAAATGTTGGGTTGAGAGATTTCGAGTTAGAGAGCAACAGTGAGCAAGCCAAACCTTGAGCACATGTTGAGCTTAATCAATTATTCATGAAGCATTTGTTACTCTTGGGAGGTGAAGCCTCCTAGATAGCGAGGTGTCTCCCAGCGAGCACCTGTGCTTGTGGTGATCCGTAAAAAAGTTTCTGAGGGTTGAGATATTGCCCGGCCTCGCAAGTGAAAGATCAACTAGTGGAGACGAAAAAAGTGGCCGAGAGGGACCTGGTACGAGCTCGAGCTTTGTGAGTAGCTCACCTCCACCTCAATGGAGATGTAGGGTTCAAGTGGGAGGAACCCGAACATCAGTGAAATGAATCTCTTATCTCTCATGTTTTGAACTGTAATATTTGTATTTTCACTCGATCTACTTGGTGGTGTGGGTTTGTGAGTGCATGTACTTCGTGAACTTGCTATTGTACATCTTCAAAAACATCTCTATAAGTTTGGTTTGAGCTTGAACTCTATAGGTGCAGTGAACTTTGTGTAATTCTGGGTTGCATGAAATGTTTGTGAAGTGGATGTTCTGCATCCTGCTAATCCATAGCGAAGTTTTGTTTTGTATTAAATTTTAGAAACGCACATCCCTCGACGTAGCTACAAAGATTTCAAATAAAAAATGATAACATACTACAAAATATAAATTTTAAACTCAATCGGCACATAGAGAACTAACAGAAAAAGACAAATACTAGGAGGAAATGGAAAAATAAAAAAGATAGATATAAAAAAAAGTTAACTGCATTGTTTAATACTAAAGATGTACTTTTTGTTTCTCCTTTCATTGGTCATATTTTTCATTTGAATGTTTCCTGAATTTTTGTTATATTATGTCTATTTCAACTGACATGAGAACATCTCTAATGCCCCCCTATCCCTTCATATGTTCTCGCTCCCATTCAAAATATGCATCAAAATTTGCACGAAAAATTCCACCAAAAACATATATCGGTAGATGATGCAAACCTTTATGTTTATTCCAAATTTGAGATACAACAAAAATCTATATAAGAAAATAAAAGGTGAAACCAAGACGTGAATAGTTACGGTGGTACATTTCAAGGCTTCTTTTGAGTGGAATCACAGGAGCATAGGAAGAGGTGGAAGAACCGGAGATGTTCTCCAACTGATATTTCAACCATTCCTCTACTTAGCATGGGGCTTCTATGAATCGGTTCACTATCAATTAGTTTTTCTCCATTCATACCACAATTCTGTGGATTGTTTATGTATTAACACTAAGGGGCGAACTTAATGTATTTCAGTTATATTAGTTAAGTTTCTTCTAGTAGAATATGTCGATCCAGGTTTAAGCCCTCTATTAACTTGCGGGCTTCTATTTTTTAAAATTTATTTCTGGTAATAGCTATTTTTTTAGTGGTAGGTGACATGGTTGTTGATAGTGATGTGTCTATAACGACTTCGTCAATCTTAAAATCTATCAGCTCAGTTTTTCACATGTACTACTCAAGAAGTAAGGTGTGTATTAGTGTATAAGAATGTTCACAAGGGTGAGTATGTGTATGTCTGTACTAGATGTAGCACCAAGTGGTTCTAGCACCCCTGAGATACATTTGTAACGGCGACACATGCTTTGCCTATACGTATGTACCATAATATATATATATATATATATATATATATATATATATATATATATATATATATATATATATATATATATATATATAGACATACTCCCTACATCTTATAAAGAGTATCATTTTAGCATTCAAATTTTGTTCCACAAAGATTGTTACTATATGTAAACATGTAGATCCCACCTAGATACTTTCTACCCTAACCCACTAAGAAAACACTATAGTTTAACTTTTTGTAGGGGCATTTGGTCATTTCCTAATTGCATTGGCACCCACTAAAAAATACTATAGACTAATCATGTAGGAATTTCACAAATATCAGTTTAATTTCGTAGGGAAAATCCAGAAGTTCTGTGTTCTAAACATAGCCCTAGAATAGCTCTCTTCCCGGGATGAAGGGAGCACGCGTCACGTGTGGACAGAGGCTCAGCAGCCGGTTCACATTCAACGGTGACAATAACCCGTGACGGAGTGGATAATGACATGCATGTTAGTCAGATGACTAACCGTATTAGTCAGATGACTAACCGTATTAGACGACAAAAGTCAATGGAAACCGTGGCATTGTTAAATGACGAACAGCGACACCATTGGAGTATTGGACGAAGAGATGCATGCATCAGGTCATCAAAAGATCAGGATCGTTTTCTTTACTAGTGCAACTGTACGTTGAACCTAGTACCGAGGAAACGTGCACATTCTAGAGTTCCTTATTACAAGTACTCCTCCTTCATTGGTATGCATATGGGTTCACCCTAAACGACGAAGACCACAATTATTATTACTTTTTTTTTAGATAGACTCAAGGATTCCCATTTCCATTCGATGAACCGAAATACAAGCATCTGAGATATTTAGACCGGAAGACAAAAATAGATATGAAAAAACAAAGACGTGCGCTTCATTAGATTGCAAGTAATCGTCCTTCATTAGATTGCAAGTGGAGAGTATTTTAGTGTTGAATCGGCCTACTTTGTTCAGTACGAGGGCTCGTATTGTATTCCCCGTTCAAGGCGAAAATTTAACTTGTCGTGCGCACGTTCATGGAAAACACAGGTTTTTCACTTTGGTCTTAGTGCCGATTTAGATCCTAATGCCTAAGAGCAACTCCAGCATGGGCATCCAAATCAGAGCCTTTACTTTTCATATGGGTGCTCCTCTACTTTTGTTGGTCTAAATTTTGTTTGTCCAACTCCAACAACAGCACCCATATTTAGGCCCTCAAAATCATTCTGATAGACAATGACAGGCGGGGCCTGGTGGCCATAGACTTTCTTAGCCAAATCTGCATCTCGCCGGGAGGCGGGGAGTGACTCGCGGGCTCATTGCGGGTGCTACTCGACCGTTGGAGAAGTCGCGGGCCGGGAGACTCGCATGTCGGGAGGTCACGGCGCCACTGTAGGAGATTTGGGCCGTCGATGTCGCCAATGGGTAGGTCACGAGGGCGCCTGAATTTTTTATTTTTTAGCTCTTTTTTTGAATTTTTCACAAATACGTCCCTGGAGGTAAGATTTCAAAATCTAGACCCTTAGCTCGGCACCGAGCTTACACGTCTCGGCGCCAGCCTCTTGGGCTCGAAGCAAACGTGGCGGTGATTTGACAGGCACCTCGGCGCCAGTAACGGTGGCGCCGTAGATCTTGGAGCCGAGCTCGGCGCCAGGGTTACTGGCGCCAAGCCTGTCTTACTTATGGGCCCCAATCCTTTCTCTCTTCCTCTCCCTCTCTCTCTCGCACCTCCCTCGCCTCGCCCGAGTAGCGCACCGCCGCCGCCGCCCGCGCCCTCTCCCCCCTCGGCCGCCCATGCCCGCGCCGGTCCCCATGCCCTTGCCTCGCCCGATGTACCGCCCACGCCCACGACCGCCTTGGCCGTGCCCCGCCGCGCCGGCGCCGTGCCCGCCGTGCCGTGACCGTGCCGTGGACGCACCACGCCCTGCCGCCCGCGCCCGGCCTCATCCGCCTTGCCGCCCGTCATCACCGCCTTCAAGCCTCGGCCACGCCCGCGCCGTCGGGCCTCGCTCGCCATGAGCACCGGCACCTCACCCATGGTGAGCACCGGCACCCGCACCGTCGCGCAAGCACCACCACCCGGCCCGGCACCTCATAAATAGCCAGTGCCACACACTGGCCCGACTCGTCGTCACCTAACCCACGCCAATCGTCTCACGACTCCATCGACGTCCACAACTTAGTCGTCGGACAGGTAAAAATTGTGAATTTGCAATGTGCGTACTTAGTTAGCTTTGATTATAGTGTAGTAGTTTTGGCATTTGTTATTTACTAGTTAATGAGATGACTTAGGTAGTTGATTTAGTTAGTGATCTAATGAGATAGATATGTAGATAGATAGAAACATAGATACATAGGTACATAGATATAGTTAAATAGCTACTTAGATAGGTAGTTATATATTTAGTTAACTAAATAGGATCTAGCTAATCAGTGAGTACACTGTATCTATGTATGTAGTTATTATCTTATTTACTTAGTTTGTAGTTAGAAAGTACTTGTTAGGTACTATCTATCGTCTAATTGGGATTAAAGAACGTGTTTCGTTACGTGTTTGAAATAGATGGATAACCTAGTGACCATTTATCATGGAGGCACCGTTGAAAACGATCGCTATGGATATGTTGAGTTTGTTGACATGCAAAGCGTGCCTGTGCTATTCAATGAGAAGCCATCATTTAGTGAGGTGGTTGCAAGGGCTCGGGAGGAGCTGCATTGCCTTAGCGATGATGATGATGGCATTGCAGTTGAGGGTGTACTACACCTAGGTTCTCCTCCCAACATCCTTAGGCGAATGATCCCAATTGGATGTGCGGATCAGTGGGAGAACTATATGAGATCGGCAATGAAGAGCCAGCTACAATGTTTGGACGTGGTTGTGCGTAGGGTGTTAGTCGATCCCCATCCCTCATAGGGTTTCCCCACCAATGGGTCAACAGGCACACTTTGACCCTTCGGTCCCGAAACTTGATATGGATGTGGAGGTTGCACCTACGGTTCCTGATGCTCAATCTGCCCCCAATGAGCTAGTTGGAGATGCTTGTCATACTTATGATGTTGTGGCAGATCCTCCTCATGAGATCCCTTTGACACAGAATCATCCGAGTAAGTGTCTTATCCGCATGGTTATTGGGAGCTTACCCCCTTCCTTACATCCATTTTTTTCATTCTTTCCTTATTTTTTTACTTATGTTGCAGTAGATATTCCTGACAATGTGGATGCGCTCTCTGCTGCTGCGCAAGTGCTGTATGGAGATGGATTCCATGGCTCCAATAGTGTTGAAATTATGGATGATTCGGAGCCATATGAGATGGCAATGGCTCTTGATTCTAATGATGATCGCCCTGTTGGAGAGCTGACAGAGAGTGATGTCGAAATGCTGAGGCGTATCTTTCCCGGCCGCCGTGATCCAAGAGTTTACGAGTTCAGCGATCTTGCTCATTCCGATCAGGCGTGTGCAGAAGGACATGATGATGAGCTCCTAGAAGCTCCTAAGGCCGGCCCCTCTTCCGTGCAATTACTTATCTCCCCTTCAGTTCATCCAAGAACTTAGCTTGACCATCATAACATTCCCACCTGCATTTCCTAGTGCTCTGTTCAAACGAAAAATTATATCATATATGTCTTAGAAAAGAAACAAAATACGATTTCTTGTTTACCACAAAAATAACCAACCTCATCATAGTCAACCATATGGCCGCAATAATGGCCTATTCCAAGTTCCGAAGGGACTAGACCGTAGTTGAATTTAACACCACATTCGCACTTGACTGGAGGTGCTTTGTAAATTAACCTTTCTTTCTTCTTTTCCTTTGCCTTTGGTGGCTCTGACCATTGATTATTAGGACCGTAGAGGCACTGCTTGAAACGACACTTCGCAAATCCATACACATAAAAGAGGAGACATTAGTATACGCACACATAGAGCTAAACATTTAAAAGAGGAGACACTTCGTGTTTGTAAACAACTAGAAGGAAAGCGAGGATACCTTGCTCTCGAAGATCTACAGATCAAATCAAAGTTTCCAAGATCCAATATGCCGATTCGTGAGGTAGGGCGAAGTGGAGAGAGAAAAAATCTGAGAGGGAGGAGAAAGAAGAGGAAGAAGGCTCGGGTAGGAAGGTCGGGGCTGGGGTTAAAACACCACCTCGGCGCCAAGCTTGGCGCTAGGATCTGTGGCGCCGAGCTGCCTGCCAAGTCACCGCCACGTCTGCGTCAAGCCCAAGAGCTTGACGCCAGCAACGATGGCGCCAAGCAGTGTAAGCTCGGCGCCAGCTACTCTAGCGCCGAGCTAAGGGTCCTGATTTTGAAATATTACCTCCAGGGGCATATTTATGAAAATTTTTCAAAAAAATGCTAAAAATAAAAAATTCGGTGAGGGCGCTGCCGTCCGGAGACTCGCGCCGTCGGGGGAGACACGCTAGCGCTGCCGAGGAGGTCACGAGCGCTGCCGGAGACTCGCGGGCGTCGCCGGGGGAGGTTGCGAGCGACCAGAGACTCGCACCGCCGTCGAGGTCACCGGGGAGGTCGCGAGCGAGAAAGGATGCAGAGGAAATGACGGATGGGGGCCGTGGGGTGAGCCCCCATTCTCTCGCAGGAATGGGGTCTGGAGGATGGATTTGGGTGCCCACATCAAATTATGGGCTCTAGTAGGGGCCTGCCGGAGCTGCGTTTTTTTTTTGTCTAGACACTTATATTTAGCTATAGTAGTTTAAGCAGGAGCTCTGCTAGAGTTGCTCCGACAAACTTGTCGTGCCATAAAGGCTCTGTAATCCTACGTGTGGATTCCCATGGATAGATTAGATAATCTCTTTGCTGCTTTGCTTTCGGGTTTTTTTTTTCTATAGAAATACTCTTGTAAAATCTACCGTGCTTCATCTCATTATATGATATATAGCAGATCGTTATATGATATAAAGAGCTCCTCTTGTTTTCTTTAAAATATATAGCAGATCGTTGTATAGCAGACCGTAAACGCGGTTTATTTGCTGTTTGAGGGGTCTCTTCGAGAGCACACTCCGAACCAAATAATTAATTTTGATCTCCCAACAGCGGTAACAAAAATACAAAATAGTTTTTTTTTTGTTTTTATAAAACATGAAGGCTTTTCCTAGTTAAATATCCAATAGTCTTTCTAAAATTTATTCTCTAAATCATCATTGAAGAGTCACGTGAGTAAAATCGTTTTCTATACCTTTGTACCCTTCAATAGTTTTTCTATATTTTGTGCGCAAAACATTTTCGCTCTCTATCTTTGGCTGGCGAGAAATCTAAAATACTAAATGTCTATATTTTGGATATCCAGTTAAAGAGGCTGTTTGGAGAGATTTTTTTTTTATCAAAATCTCTATTTCTATAAATTACGAGAGATACAGACTCTTGGAGATGCTTTAGTAATCTAACAGAATTAGATAGGAAAAGCTCCAATCAAGACAGAAAGATGAGATAAAAGACTTTACATGCACCGCTCAAACGAGGAGTAAGAAGATATATAGATTATATACTCCCTTTGTTCCACAATACTAAAAGGGTGAGATGAAAGACTTTTTATGCATCTTTCAAACGAGAGGTAAGAAAATATATGTTGTTATACTCGCTCCATTATAGAATAATACTTGATGTCTTTTTTTTTTATAAATAGTGCTCAACAGAAATTACTCATGTACTTCTATTTATTTAGTGTGGTTCACGCTTATTAAGACTAAGCGGCTAATTAAAAGGAAGGCATGCAGATATACAGATCACAATCTCAGGCTGATATAGGTAGAACCTAGTGTCCAAGAGCTAAAACATCAAATTAAACTTCGAAATTTTTTGGATTCCAAGACATTAATTCTTCAAGGATGGAGTGAAGAGCTAAGAGACATAATTTTTAACGAAGAAAAACGCTGAAGCCAAACAAGTTACCTTCAGTTCACGCATACTACCTTCATCCTATAAAGAATGTAATTCAGGTTTAGTCTAAGTCAAACTATTTTAAGTTTGTACTATTAAAATGTATTGCATAATTAATCTGATGATACTTGTTTAGTTTGCTAAATATAAATATTTTCTATATAAATCTAATCAAACTTAACATGTTGACTTAGAACAATTTAGATTTTTTTTCTAGGACCAAGGGAGTAACAATGCTATTTGTTTTTGGTCAAGATCCTGATCTGATATGAACTTTTATTGAATACAACAAAGTACAATCTGTTAAAATAACGGTGGAGACGTGCCAAAAAATAGTGGACTGACTACATAAAACGGCCCACAAGGGCGCTTAAATGTTCATGGCGTCTTCACCTAAAATGATGTACAATTCTATGGTTCTTCTGTCCAGCAAAAGGTACAGTTATCACGCTATCATACACTTTTTCCCTTTCGGGCTTTGTTCGGTTGTTCCCCACTCCAAGGGGGTTAAAGGGGATTGGGAGGCTAGGGATTTAAACCCTCTCAATCCCTCCACCCCCCTTGGATTGATATGCAGCCGGACAAGGCTTCAAAAATGTGTTACAATAATCCATACATCTGATTCATGAATCAAGGGTACTTAGATTCTCCTGAACTGATTGCATTAAGATCTATAGTGAAGAAAACAATGAGCAGGATGTAGAAGTGATGATGGGGAGGAGCTCATTCTCATGAATCTACCGTGGGCTAGCTTCTGCAGGTTTCTCTTGAGGGCTCGCGCTCTCCAGCAACTCAACATCGCCAACTCCAACAGGTGGACCAATGCTGCAACGAGCAGTGTTGTGCATTGCAATGGCATCCTTCAGCTTCTGAATCTACAAATGCAAAATGGGATTAGTAGGTACAAAAATGTGCAGAAATAATACAATCAGAATGATTTCCAGCTCAACCATTGCAGCTTGTTCAGAAATTTGAAATGGAAAAGTGCAGTTCATATTTTAGCACAATCTCGGAAATAGAAAACATAGGGGAGGGATGGCATGAAAGAAAACTTAAACTAAAGCAAAAAAAAAACTATAGCTCACGATAACTCACAACAAACTGTGATTCACAAAAGGGATCAAATGTATAAAGGGATCACTTATCTCATTCAATATCATGCAGCAACAGGTGAGGCACTCACACCCATACCTTAGCTAAGGAACAGGAGAAAGCCACCAGTAGCCCATCAGCTCCGCGGTAAAAATGGAAGAAAGGAAGGACTTTGACATTCAGTCGTTTGCACATAGGTTTGTTTTCATCAAAGTTCACTTTTAGAAACAATATATCAGGATTCTCCAAAGCTGTCCGGCAGAGCTGGTATCATTGGAACAGCATCAGCTTTACGACAGATTTCAGGAAATATATACATATAAACTACAAACGCTACTCCAGGACAATCAGATGGCAGTGTAAATAGATCTACAGTGTCAGAATAACAAGTAGGTAAAGGCAAACATTCAAGAGATTAAAACATCTCTATTATGGGTTTACTATACAAGCAACTAAAACATCTCCAATATGGATTTACTCAAAGTGCACAAATATTTAGCATGAGCAAACACTTTAAGTGGCTAACTGGCTATCCCTTAGGTGCTGTTTGGTTAGTGCAGTGTCAACGCAAACGTAAGTGGGAATGAATAACGCTGCGACCTCAAAAAAGTAAGCAAATACGTTCGATTGTTTGGTTCACGTGAGATAAAGCTACCAGCGACGTAAGCGTTTGCGGAAGCTTGTGGGTGGTAAACGCACTGTATGGCGTGGGATCAGGTCATGCCGTGATCCGATTACAACTCAGCTTAACCAAACAGAAGTTAACGTAAATGAATACCACCGTGAACCTGTTTCCGGTGCAAAATAGTCCAACCAAACAGCACCTTAGTGTGTGCTCTTCGCTGAGGATGTGGTACTTGTTGGCAAGTCACACAGGGTTAGTAGGAATGGAGTTGTGGAAACAAGACTTTGGAAGCGAAAGATCTTAGACTTAACCAGCCCAAGGGATCAATGTTACAGAGAGGGATATCAAGGAAGATGTTAGTCATAGATTCAAAGCTGGGCGGATGAAATCGCTCCAAGCTTCTGGCATCCTCTGAAGGTGCCATAGCCCACAGAAGCTAAAGAGTAAGTTATTGAGGACAGCAATTGGTACCACAGTGTTGTGCAGTGCAGAATGCTGGCCTACCAAACAGTGGCATGTCTAGCTGCTACATGTAGCAGAGATGCACATGTTGCAACAGATTTGTGGTCATACTAGCTAGGAAGGTTCGAGATCGAAACAATAGTATAAGTGATAGGGTAGGGGTGGCACTGATTCATTGCATCTTATGTCATGCCAATAATATAAAAAGGGGCTGGGGTGGGCCAAACTTGATGTGCGATGAGGAAGTAAAGAGGGATTCAAGAAAATGGAATGAACGATCTATCTTTGGGTGGAGGCATGTCGTAATCAGCAATCCATATGCCCAAAGCAAGACCTAGGGTATAGTTCACCTTTTACAACTGTGTTTTCTTTCTTTTTCCCTTTTTTTTTTGCGGGTCACCTTTTACTACTGTTGCTACAATTATTACTACTACTACCTCATCTTCTTCATGCGATCCCCTGAGGTTTTTACTTTTTACTGGGTTTCATCTCTAGCCTACCCATAACTTATTTAGGATAAAAGGCTTTGTTGTTGTTTTAGTAAACCTTGTCAGTTGCTAGTAGTCCTCCAAACTCCAAAGGTAGCTTAACCAATTCACAGTTATAAGTTATAACCATAAACTACTTAGTCCAGGCTGGAATAGAACTCTCAAGTGCAGAGTAGTTCGATGGTAACAAGTTGATAGCCAGAGCATAGGTAACCAGTTCCAACATAAATTCACAGTATACCTAAGTTAGATGACCAATGAAAATGTGATGGAAGTACGATTGTAGCAAAGACAAAAGGTCTTAACTATCTTTCAGTTGCACTGAATTTTTTCAGGAAGCTTGTCAGCTGTTATTCCTTCTAAAACTTGAGAGAGCCTGTTAACTGTTCAGTTTTGCCAAAATGTTAACAAACTTGAGTTTCACATGACCTAAATGCAAATATCTATGCTCTTTCCTTTCTAAAAAGGTTCCAATACCTCCATGCGAGTATGCGACCAAACAAAGCTCTGAGCTCTCATTCTACAAATTATTGGAAACCAGTTCCACTACTCTACACTGTAGTAAAAAAAATCCAGAATTGAGGATCGTATTAAGTAGTATTAGCCTAATGACAATCTTTAAAGTTGTCGCAATAGGAAATTCCAAGCACTTAACGTTTCCCCAAGAAACTTGTTACAAATTACATTGATGGAGCCTTGCATGCGTTTCTAGATTCCATAGTATTACTATCTAATCTGCATTCTCCGTCTAGATTCCGTAGTATCATGCACTCGGACCCTCTCAAGTCATGATACAACCCTGGCAATCACATTTGTGTTCGTTTATTTTTTTCCATTTAAATAACTATAATACAGAGGAGCTTATCTGGACTGGAACCTCTCAAAACTAAACTTATGCATTGCTAAAGGGTGTATAATTTGACGATAAGTCTTTCCTAATCTTAGCACACCAAAATTAATGCTTTGACATGCTTTTAAAGAGCTACAATGTTTCAAAAATAATATTCAATTTGTGCATCCTAAATGATATGTAGCAGGTAACAATGTAAAGTCATAATTAACACATTAGGAATACAGCAGGTAACAATGTAAGGTCGTATTTAACACATTAGAAATATGACATGCTTCAGACAGAACCAATCAGCATCCAGTAGTTATATTCATGATTAATGACATTACCCTTGGAAAGAGAGCCCTGCACGAACCGCACCAGGTTCCGTAGAACTCAACAATAACAAGCCTGTCTCCAGCATCTCTAAGTGCATCCAAGAACTCCACTGTGGAGCGGATGTCAATCATGTTTGGTCCAGCATTTTTCTCCCACCATTTCGGTTGCTCACCACTCTCTCGCTCTGCTGCATAAGTCTGGAATAGTCAACACGACAAAACCATAACAATCAAACACCCTGCAGTGTAAACTAAGTAGCATAGTCCCACATGACTGAACACCGCACACAAGCCTTTCTTCAACCAAGCAAGAATAGCACAATTCAACTAAAATAAAGTGCAACTGAATATACCACACATCCTGGTGAACTACTTAGACATGGAGAGGGAAAAAGGTAGCACTTAACACATTGCTTAACACCAAAATGAAGTAATAAACCCAAATGAAACAAGCACCAATACACTATGTAATTCGCATAGTACAGTGCTTACAGTCAGTCACTGGTATGCATTTCCTTTTCACATGGCACAGCAATAGAAACAATAGTAGATTCACAACTAAATACCAGGCACTCCCAAATCTAGAACGAGGGCACTGGAAACGAAGAGGTGTGATTCAACAAATTAGTGGACTTACCTTATGAACAACTGCTCAATGAGCAATGAAACATTAAAGGCACAGAAGAAACCACGAAATTCACCTAGGATTTTAATCGCTCGTAAATGGCATGGAATTGCAAGGGCTCCTCCGCGGTACAACAAGCGTATACCCTCTAATCTAGAGAGGCAATACAAAGCACTTCAGAAACGCCACAAAGGACTTACCTTGTGTCGAGTGAGCCGGCGAGGCCGGGGTTGCGGGTGAGCGGCCGCCAGGCGCGCCCGCCGCGGGGAGCCGGGCGACGAGAGCACCCAACGACACGAAGGGGACGAAGAGGCGGATGAAGAGGCGCCGGATGCGGCTGACGACGGCGCGAGGAAGCGGCGCGGAAGGAGGAGAGCGTCGGCCATCGGTGGGTTCACTGCTCCGGGCGCCCGCTAGACGGCCGCCGCTCTAGGCGCCGGCGCAGGGGGCATCCTAGTGCGGGGAGGCGGCGCGCGCGAGCGCGGAGAAGCTACGGGTGAGGGGTCGGCTCCGGCCGCCTCTCCGCTCTGCTGCTTCGTCAGGGACGGGGAGGGTGTGGTGGAGATGGGGCTGGCTGACGGATCGCGTCGGGCGTCGCCGTGGATGGAAAGATTTGGGTAGCGGAAATGATGCTACACGAGAAAGCCCTGGAGACTGTCACTGGTGAGTGGGCCAGAGGTTGCATTTAGTGGATTCGATGCTCCCGAATTTGCAGATTTTGAACTACTGTATGCTACAGTACCTGCTATCTCCGACAAAACTAGCTACCTATCTATTTATATATGTTTGTCTATCTATTATCTACGGTAATGCTCTCTGCTTAACGTACCCGTCTGTCATCGTGCCTCATGCCTGCGCCTCATGCCTCGCACGCCCCACTCGGGCCTCGTGCCTCGCGCCGCGCGCTACTTTTGCCTTGCATCGCCCGCGCCTCACGCTACGCGCTGTCGCACCTCGCACCTCTCATCCGGACTCGCGATGCGCACAGCCGAGGTCCGGCCTCCGCGCCATGGCATCGAGCTCCGCACCGGCGTCAAGCTCCACATCAACGAGCACCCATTGGGGAGCAGCAAGTATATGAGTGTTGACGGTTGTTAATGTCAAACATAAACCATTAATATACTCTACATATACACTTAATTTCATCACCAAACATAGGTATAGGGTTTTAAACTAATGAATTCCACGAGTTTTGGTGAATATTTGGATGCATGAAGATTTATCTAGAAAACAGCTCCCGGGACCACTGTCATACACTCTAAATAGGCAAACCGACATCAACAAGTGATTCAACTCACGAAACCTGTGAAAGTTGACTCAAGACGGAGCCCAGGACCCACCACCCGAGGGGGAGGCCCACTTGCCACAGTAGCAGGCTGATCGGCCCAATGGTGAGGCCGGCCGACCCATTACGGAGGCCCCTCGCCCTCCGCCCCCTCGTACGCCTTCCTAAGAACAATACCCTTGATTTTAAGATTGTTTTAGGTCGGTTTATCCAACGGTGATCGAGGGATTTGACGCGGATCGATGACGTGGCGATTCCTTGCCCCCTACTCCACCTCGGCCTATATAAGGACGCTTAGACCCCCTCCAGGAGACACACATCTACCCGTGCTATGCTCCAGAGCTTTATATTTCATACACCTTGTAGTAGTGTCCCTCTAGATGATTCTCATCTAGTTGTAAAATAGAAAATAGGGAGAGAGAAGAGGAGAGAGCTAAGGAGGAGTTGGATCTATCGGATCTTCCTCGACTTTGTACTTCTACAGATTTGACTCATCCTTGAGTAATCTCTAGGTGCTTCAATTATTATTTCTAAGTTCTTTATTTACTTAATTTTAGTATTTATTTCAAGTTTATTTACTGGATTCTCGCTTGCATCAAGTGCTCTAGTCTTTGCAAAACTAGAGTAGTAATCAATAGAATAGGCGTGGTACTTAGTCTTGCGATTACCTGGAATTGTACCTAGCCCTACGGATCGTTGTGGTAGCCCCAGGTGGTGATAGCCCTGCCGGCCGACGTAGTCCACCACGTTTGGGTTGGTGTTTGCAGGACCGTAGTCTGAACTTCCTAGTTCCTTTCTCATCTCAGTCTGAAGCTAGTGTTCTGATGTCCCGAAGTAAGTAAACCTTGAAGTAACCTTGATTCTTAGATCAACTAGAGAAACCTTAGGAAATTCCTCTCTACCCACAAATACATTTACCTACCTTTATCCTTGGATGATCTTGATCCTTGATTAGTACACTTCACGTTCCCCGTGGAAATCGATACATTGGAATACTCTCGGGTGAAAGCTACAGCGGTATCCGTGCGCTTGCGGATTTTTCTGTTTGCATTAATAAATACCAACAAGCTTTCTGGCGTCGTTGCTGGAGAACGGTAGTTGTGCTAGTTTCAAACCAAGTTTGTCCTTGCATCCTTGTTTTTCTTTTATTACCATCATCTTACCACATGGATTCCACTCCCATCTATAAACTTTCAGCTCCAAAGGGCGAATTGTTGGAGCCTCTACAATCATCACATCCTATCCTTACAGATGGCTATGAGTTTCACCTTGCTTTCATAGCCATGGTTCAGAAGCAAACCTTCTCTGGAGAAGAAGATGAAAATCCATATGTCCACCTTCGGGAATTTGAGCAGCTGTGTTCGTGCTTGAATATTCTAGGCATGACACATGAGACCTTAAAATGGAAATTGTTTTCATTCTCCCTTTTGGAGAGGGCGAAACAATGGTATGCTCATACCGTTAGAAGTGTAAATGGAGACTGGGGTGAACTTTGAGACAAATTTTGTCTTGCTTTCTTCCCTATTTCTAGGATTATCACTCTTTGTCTAGAAATCCTTACTTTTCAATAAAAGGAGAAGGAAACTCTAGGAGCAGCTTGGGCAAGATTTTCAAGTTTGATCACATCTGGCCCGAATTTGTCTATGCCTGACCATGTCCTTCTACAACACTTCCATTATGGCCTTAGCAAAGAAGCTGCCCTTTTTCTTGATATCTCTTCAGGAGGATCGTTCTCTTATAAAACCGTTAGTGAGGGGAAAGCTATCCTTGATAAAATCCTTGAAAACACCCCATACACTGGCGTATATGATGAATTCCTCGAAGAAGATGACGAGCCAAGCCTCGAGCCAAAAGAGGAGCAACATGCAACTGAATTAGAAGTTCCAATTGATTCTTCTCATGACTTGGTTGCTAAAAAACCTTTCATTGAGGGAACGCAAAACCAACTAGAGGATGATGAAATATCTCCTTTAGAGTTTCCCTTTGAATTCGAGGAAGATATCTTTGAAGATTATGGAAATACCTCAAATTTGCCTGTCTAAGCGAGACCTCTGGCACATACTACACCATCTAACCCGCACGAAGAATCGGTCCACATAGAACACATCAAAAGGCTTTCATCAATCATGGGTTATGAATGGCTGAGAGAAGCAAAGTTATCTCCTGAGGTAGCTCGAATCACCTCCCCTTCAACCATTCTTTTGTGCCAAGTTAGAGGGTCCGCTATGAAAATCCACTATAAACCTTCCGTCGGGATAAACTTCATTTCAAAAGCATTAGCCAAAACTTTTTACCCCGACACATCCTTAACCCCATCTCGAAAACTTCTACAAAGCCCATCAGGATTTATTCTTGAAAACCATGGGGTCTTAAGGATTGTTCCTGTCACAATCAATAACTCTGGGATATGTCTAGTTTTTTAGATTTTTGACATCTTAGAGATTCCTCTCTTGATTAGCAGACCAATCATGAGACTTCTACAGGAAAAACCACTATGAGGTCATTTAGACTTCAAGGTTGGGAATTCCACTATTGTCATTCCTCTTGCTCGTTCTGTTAACACGATGGTGGAACCTAAACCTGAACAAGACTCCATGGATGTCAACAGAATATCGTCGGCAGTCCTCCGAGGGGTATCCCACGAAGGTAGATTGATCGGCAGAGGAGCGCATGATCAAGAACAAGAAGGCAACAGAGACACACGAGTTATACAGGTTCAGGCCGTCAGTATGACGTAATACCTTACTCCTGTGGTCTGTTGGTTTGTATTAGCTATCGTATGATATGCCGTGATTTTGGAGGGGGTCCCTGCCCACCTTATATAGTCTGGGGGCAGGGTTACAAGTCGGTTAGATCTGAGAGATAACTAAAAAGTAATAACATAATACAAGAATCATGGGATCATACGTATCCTAACAGATCTCGTAGTATCTTCAGGATATCCTCCCTATATCTTGCGGGAGGCGCCGAGCAGAATCATGTCCCACAAGGCTTCATCTTATGGGCTAGGCCACCCCTAGGGGCGCAGCCCATGTGGTCCGCTGTGGGTATCCGGGGTCGTACCCCCCCACAGCTAGTCCCTGAGCGCCTTATACCCGTTGTGCAACGCCATCCTAAGCGTGTCCGAGCAAGTGCAAACCAAAGCCGAGCAGTCCGACCACCATGATGAGTCACCAAGCAGTTGTGAGCAGTTGCCGAGCAGCATATCCCAAGTATGGCTTGCCATAAGGGTGTAAGGAGCTCTAGTCCAGAATCGAAAATTTCTTCGCAGTGGACCAAGTGTGCCCACTTAGAGTCCGACCACGAGGAAAGGAGATAACCTTCTTTAGCTTCAAGAGGCACGGAGTCTTCTAGAAAAAACAAGCACATTCACCGCGAGGTGAAGTGTGCCCACTTAGTCCCCGAGCTTGACAGTAGATGACGTAGTCATGTGGTGCCAGGGTCCAAAGTAGAAGAATAGAGAACCAGCCGAGCAGGCAGCCAGTCCTCGGGCATAGACTCGAAAAGCACATTCACCGCTAGGTGAAGTGTGCCCACTTAGTCCTCGAGCCTGATAGTAGGTGATGGAATCACGTGGTGCCAGGGTCAGAAACAAAGAAATAGTGAAAACCAGCCGAGCAGGCAGCCAGTCCCCGAGCCACAAGTGGAGATACCGGAAGAATCTAACCGTGGAGGAAGAACCGGAGGAACGGCTGTACAGTAACGGTTACTGAGCCTCAATAAATGGCGAAGAAGTCAGCAATTATTCGGCGAGTAACAACTGACGGCGGCGATAAATGAGCGACGTGGGCTGCGGTTGCGTGAAAGCCTAGGTTACGGCCCATTAAGCCACGTCAGAGAATTCAGAGGAGCGAGAATCGTGGGAACGGTTTCCCAAAAACCCTAGAATGCAAAAGGGTGGGGAAAATACTTTATAACGGCGCCGCCGCCCCCCACGCTCCCACCTTTGCCACTTCACCATTTCATCTTCCTCCTTAGCCATCACACTTCCAGATTTGCACCCACACACGTTGCCGACGCCAGCTCCCATCCAAATCTGAGTGATGGCGTAAGAGGAGAACTGTGAACCCGAAGAAAGCGATCCCAAAGAAGGCAGGTGCC